TCATTTTTTTTTTTTTAAGGCTCATGTACAGTCAGGAATGGTCCCTTCCCACCCTACAGCTCATCCGATGATGCTGATGACGGCACAGCCACCAGGGGGCCCGCAAGCTGCTCTAGCACAGAGCGCTTTACAGCCCATTCCCGTTTCTACAACCGCACACTTCCCCTATATGACACATCCTCCAGGTGAGTAACAAGACTGTCTAGAATATGGTCTTGTAACGGGCCACTGCCTGCTGGCTCACAGAGAGGTATAAATAAAATAAGTATGTTATTAGAAATAAATAAATATAGATATAGATCTATATCATATAGTTATGTAGATATTGTATTATAAAGATATTAAACTTTTTTTTTTTTTTTTTTTTTTTTTTTTTTTTTTCTTAAATCAACTGTATTATGTACAGTATTTGTTTACAGTCCATAGGTACAGGCTAATCCGGTATTGTAGCTGTGTGGCATAACAGTAGTTTTTGTTCTGTCTTCTAGTGCAAGCACATCACCAACAACAGCTGTGAATCTGGAGCTTCTGTGAAAAGGCTGGAACCCTTTTGTAGGCCAAAAATTTTCCCACTTTCTGCTTCCTTCCAGTGGAAGTCCCAGCATCTAGAATTTCCCAGTTTTGTCTAAGAAAAAAAAAAACCATTGATTTCTGCTAACCTTCATTAGGAATGCTAATTGATCATCTTGCAGTGGGAAAGATTTGAACTGCGTACTGGCATGTAGGAATTTGCAGACTACACTGCATCGGTCCTCCAAAATCCCAAACTTTGCTTGCTGATAACTGGAAGTTATTTATTTTTAATGGCCCTTCTAAGTTATGAACTCATCAGCTAGCAAATGAAATAACACGAGTGATTCTTGCTGCTATCTTCACCTTTAAAAACAAAAAATCAAGACTCTAAAATCCCTTTTTATGTCTAAACTTGAAACCAATTCAGTACAGATTCTTATCATCAAACTGATGGATTATTATTTATGAATCAGGTTTGATGTGGCTGTTGCCTCACAGCAACAGTGTAACTTTTAAGTTAAGGAAAAACTTTTACTTTGTAGATAATATAAAATAAAAACAAAAAAAAAATTAAAAAATTAAAAAAGTTTTAAAAACTGACTGCTGGCGGTGTCCTGTTAATCTAGTGGATATAGTTTTTTGTTATTTCTGAAATGTCTGTTACCACCTTTATGATGAATAATTTTTGTGTCGTGTTCTTTTGACGTGAAATATACCACATGTGGTATCCCTGTGGGAATTTTTCTTTGTTCCATCTCCTAAAATGGGTGTGTGTTCATTCCTGAGAACTGGAGGAAAAGGTATGCCTTTTCAGATATCAAAATTAATCTGAACCTGATCAGCTCCTGTGGGCAACAGCCTACATTTCTGTTTTTACAGAAATCCTTTCCATTACTTGTAAAAACCCTGCACCTAATTCATTTGGGCATTTCTAATTGTTTCCCCAGTAAAGTTTCAGCTTCTTGTTGGTCAAAAATTGTAACAAATGTGGAGGAGTAAAAGGAGGAACCAAATTCCAATTTTGTTTTTAACATACAGTGCCTTGAAAAAGTATTCATACCCACTGAAAGTTTCCAGTTTTTGCCATTTTACAACCAAAAACATAAATGTATTTGGGAATGTGTGGGAATTTATGTGATAGACCAACACAAAGTGGCACATAATTGTGGAGTGAAAAGAAAATAAGTGGTTTTCAACATGTTTTACAAATATCTGAAAAGTGTGGTGTGCATTTGTATTCGGCCCCCCTCAGTCAATACTTTGTAGAACCACCTTTGGCTGCAATTACAGCTGCAAGTCTTTTTGGGGATGTCTCTACCGGCTTTACACATCTAGAGAGTGACATTTTTGCCCATTCTTTGCAAAATAGCTCATGCTCTGTCAGATTGGGTGGAGAACGTCTGAACAGCAATTTTCAAGTCTTGAATGTCTCAGAATGGCCCAGTCAAAATCCAGACCTAAATCCAACTAACACATGAATATGCTTTGATCTAAACCATTCCATTGTAGATCTGACTGTATGTTTGGGGTCATTGTCCTGCTGGAAGGTGAACCTCCGCCCCAGTCTCAAGTATTTTGCAGACTCTTTAACAAGTTTTCTTCTAAGATGGCCCTTTTATTTGGCTCCATCCATGTTCCAATCAACTCTGACCAGCTTCCCTGTCCTTGCTAATGTAAGGCATCCCCACAACATGATGCTGCCATCACCATGTTTTCACGGTGGGGATGGTGTGTTCGGGGTGATGTGCAATGTTCGTTTTCTGTCATACGTAGTGTTTTTTGCTTTTAGGCCAAAAAGTTAAACTTTGGTTTCCTCTGACCAGAGCACCTTCTTCCACATATTTGCTTTGTCCCCCACATGGCTTCCCGCAAACTGCAAATGGGGCTTCTCATGGCTTTTCAAGTTCTTCTTTCTTTCAACAATGGCTTTCTTCTTTATACTCTTTCAAAAAGGCCAGATTTGTGGAGTGTATGACTAATAGTTGTCCTGTGGACAGATTCTCCCACCTGAGCTGTGGATCTCTCCTGCTCCTCAAGAGTTACCATGGGCCTCTTGGCTGCTTCTCTGATTAATGCTCTCCTTGCCGGCCTGTCAGTCTAGGTGGCCGGCCATGTCTTGGTAGGTTTTCAGTTGTGCCAGCCATTTTCGGATGATTGATTTGAACTGTGCTCCATGAGATGTTCAAAGCTTGGGATATTTTTTTTATAACCTAACCCTGCTTTAAACTTCTCCACAATTTTATCGCTGACCTGTCTGGTGTGTTCCTTGGCCTTCATGATGCTGTTTGTTCACTAATGTTCTCTAACAAATCTCTGAGGGCTTCACAGAACAGCTGTATTTATACTGAGATTAAATTACATACAGGTGGACTCTACTAATTAGGTGACTTCTGAAGGCAATTGGTTCTACTAGATTTTAAGTAGGGGTATCAGAGTAAAGGGTGCTGAATACAAATGCACACCACACTTTTCAGATATTTATTTGTAAAAGATGTAGAAAACCATTTATCCTTTTCCTTCCACTTCACAATTGTGTGCCACTTTGTGTTGGTCTATCACATAAAATCCCAATAAAATACATTTACGTTTTTGGTTGTAGCATGACAAAATGTGGAAAATTTCAAGGGGGGTATGAATACTTTTTCAAGGCACTGTATGGTTGCTGTGTAGAACAATTCACAGCAATGCACTGGGTGTCAGGTCAAGGAAAGTAAAGGAATATCAGGGAAGCGGATCAGAGTTATGTAATGTGCCCTGCCTGTTCTTTGGAAATCAGAAGAGGTTGACCGTCTTACAGTTAAATCGAGTTGTTGCTTGTTTGATGCATGTGTAAAGGAATCCTTATGCAATGTCTGTGCCCTAAATCAAAGTTGTCATAATGACCATTATTTGCCGAATTGAACAGATTTACAGCTGGCGTTGAAATTCAGTTTAACGTCTCATTGCTATGTCCTCCTGTACAATCCTGTTAGAAATTCTAACACAAACATGTCCTAGAAATTAGAAGATGTTAAGACTTATTGAGAAAATTGGATACAAAACTACTGGATTCCATCCACTCTGAGTCCTCATGCACACTTAAGCTCATAAAAGCTGCTCTCATGGGTGTTTGAGTGTAGGTTAACATGGAGGGGCATTTAGAGGCAGAAAAAACCTCCCCCAATGACCACTTTTATTAGGTACACCTGTTCAATTGCTTGGTAACACAAATTGCTAATCAGCCAATCACATGGCAGTAACTCAATGTGTTTAGGCATCTAGACATGGCGAAGATGACTTGATGAAGTTCAAACAGAGCATCAGAATGGGGAAGAAAGGGGATTTAGGTGACTTTGAATGTGGCATGGTTGTTGGTGCCAGACGGCTCAGCTCTGCATATTTAAAAAAAAAAAAAACTGCTGATCTACTGGGAGTTTCACACAAAACCGTTTACAAAGGATGGTCCATAAAATAGAAAACATCCAGTGAGTGGCAGCTGTGTAGACAAAAATGCCTAGTTGATGTTGGAGGAGAATGGGCAGACTGGTTCGAAATGATAGGGAATAGTAACTAAAATAACCACTTGTTACAACCAAGGTATGCAGAATACCATCTCTGAATACACATGTTGAAGCAGATGGTCTACAGCAGCAGAGAACCACACTGGGTGCCACTCCTGTCAGCTTAGAACAGGAAACGGAGGCTACAGTTTGCACAGGCTCACCAAAATTGGACAGTAGAATATTGGAAAAACGTTACCTGGTCTTATGAGTCTTGATATCCCTAGAGATGGTTGTGCATGAAACTCCCAGTAGATCAGCAGTTTTTGAAATACTCAGACCAGCCTGTCTGGCACCAAAAACCATGCCACGTTCAAAGTCACTTACTTGAACTTGGGCACCTAAACATGGTGAAGACTACTTGCTAAAGTGCATTGAGTTGGTGTCATGTGATTGGTTAGTTAACATTTTGTGTTACCAAGCAATTGAACAGGTGTACCTAATAAAGTGACTGGTGAGTGTTTGTGTCCATGCACATATAGGAGTTTAGAGGAAGAAAAAAATCACTTGTGTTTCAGGAAAGAAGCTTTTGAGCATAAAAAAAACGGCTCAAACGTGCCTGAAGGGAAGTAAACACTAGTTATGTTCCTGCATTAATCCATTCTAATGGCCAGAATTCTAGCCATTAGAATCTATGAACATGCATGCAAAAACACAGCTTTTTACTGCATTTTTGCTGCTGCTAGACTCCTAGTGATTTTTTTTTTTTCTCTCCCCTACAGAAGTGTTCATGAAGCCTAACAATTGCCAATAGCTAATTTAGAAATGAGTGGGAATCTTTTCTGTTAAGGGCTTGAAAACCATGCTCCGGGTTTTATTCTTACATGTGTGTATGTATGTATACGTATGTGTACACACAATTGCCAAAAGTATTGGGACACCTCTCCAACTCATTGGATTCAGGTGTTCCAATCACCTCCATGTCCACAGGTGTATAAAATCAAGCACCTAGGCGTGTAGACTGCTTCTACAAACATTTGTGAAAGAATGGGTCGCTCTCAGGAGCGTGAATTCAAACGTGGTTCTGTGATAGGTTGCCACCTGTGCAATAAGTCCATCCGTGAAATTTCCTTGCTACTAAATATTCCACGATCAACTGTTAGTGGTATTCTAACAATGTGGAAGCAACTGGGAACAACAGCAACTCTGTCATTTTACGTGGCCTACCACTCCATGGCTGAGCGGGGTCTGTGCACAGAAGTCACCAACTCTCTGCAGAGTCAACAGCTAAAGATATCCAAACTTCGTGTGGCCTTCAGATTATCACAGCAACCATGCGTAGAGAGCTTTATGGAATGGGTTTCCATGGCTGAGCAGCTCCATCCAAGCCTTACATCACCAAGTGCAATGGCAAAGCATTGGATGCAGTGGTGTAAAGCGTGTTCGCTGGAGTGATGAATCATGCTTCTGTCTAGCAATCCGATGGACTTGTCTGGGTTTGGCAGTTGCCAGTAGAATGGTACTTGCCTAGCTGCATTGTGCCAAGTGTAAAGTTTGGTGGAGGGGGATTCTGGTGTGGGGTTGTTCTCTAGGGGTTTGGCTTGGCCCCTTAGTTCTAGTGAATGGAACTTTTAAGGCGTCAGCATAGCAAGACCTTTTGGCCAATTTCATACTCCCAACTTTGTGGGGACAGTTCGGGGATGGCTCCTTCCTGTTCTAAAATGACTGCGCATCAGTCCACAAAGCAAAGTCCTTAACCACCTCAATACTGGGCACTTTTACCCCCTTCCTGCCCAGACCAATTTGTACCTTTCAGCGCTCTCACATTTTGATATTTACTCAGTCATGCAACACTGTACCCAAATTAAATTTGTCTTTCTCCCCCCCACACAGAGCTTTCTTTTGGTGGAATTTAATTAGCCCTGGATTTTTATTTTTTGTGCTGTAAATTAAAGACCGAAAATGTAAAAAAAAAAAAAAAAAAAAGCATTTTTCTTTGTTATAAAATTTTGCAAATAAGTAATTTTTCTTCAAAATTTGGGCCAAAATGTATATTACATTTCTTTGGTAAAAATAGTCCCAATTGCTGTGTATTACTTGGTCTGTGTGGCAGTTAGTGTCTACAAGCTATGGTACCAGTCAGTGAAAATTGAACATACCTGATGTACTGACGGCCGATCTCATTTCTTGAGATGCTAACAAGACAGGACAGTACAAATTACTTTCCAAAAAGGGGGGTATTTGGGAAGGTGACATTCCAAGGTATTTAGTAAGATGCGTGCCGAGTTTTTTGTACATGTAATTTTTTTTCCCACAATTCTTTGGAAAATGAAGAAAGTAAATAATATAACAGCTGTGTGAAAAAACAAAAAAACTAATTTTAACAGGTTAATTTCACACCTATCACCTATCCTGACTACCTATCACTTTTTTTGAAGGCCCTGGAGCACTAGGACAATGGAATTACCCACCAAATGACCCCATTTTGCAAAGCAAACACCCCAATGTATATTCTTTGAGGCATAATGAGTCTTTTGAATGTCATATTTTTTTTTCCACAAGTGTTCAGAAAATGTGGGAAGAAAATGAAAGTACTTTTTTTACATAAAGTTGTCTATTTCTAACACATAGCATGTACATACCAAAAATTACACCTCAAAACACATTCTGCTACTCCTGAGTATGGAGATACCACATGTGTAAGACTTACACAGCCTGGCCACATGTAGAGGCCTAACATCCAAGTAGGACCTACAGGCGTTCTGTAGGCATAAAATTACACATCTCATTTCCTGACTACCTATCACATTTTTGAAGGCCGTGGGAGCAGCAGGACAATGGAATTACCCACAAAATGACCCCATTTTGCAGAGCAAACACCCCAATGTATATTCTACGAGGCATAATGAGTCTTGAACATGTCTTTTTTTTTTTTTTTTTTCCCCCACAAGTTTTCAGAAAATGTGGAGAGAAAATGAAAAAGTATTTTGAAGGCCCTGGAGCACCAGGACAAAGGAATTACCCTTGGATGCCTGCCTATCTTCTGAGTGTGTGCTGCGCGCTGCTTGTACTTGCCACTGTGCTACTGGTGGACGCCTGCTCCTCAGATCTCCTGAACCTCTTTGGACTCTCTCCTCAGAATCTGTTGCTGATCCACTGTTTTCAATTGGCTCATACTTAGAATCTGAGTCTGACAAAGAGAGTTTCCCGCTACTCTTGTCCTTCACTCAGTATCTGGAAAGCCTCCTCGATGGTGTATAATTTTTTTTAGACATTTTGATGTTCACTGGTACAGATGTTGATCTGATACTGGTACAATGTGACCGATATTAAGCAGTGGTAAACTGTGACAGATGTGGATTTGACCCTGGTAGGCCGTGACAGATGTTGATCATTGGCACAGAAGTGGATGAGCACTGGCACACTGACAGATGTGGATCACTAGTGCAGATGTGAATTTTACACTAATACACCATGACAGATGTGTATTACCACTGGTACACCGTGATGGATGTGGATCACTGATGCTGTGTGATATGTGGATCACGGGCACTGTGACAGATGTAGATAAGGTGTATGGTGACAGATGAGGCTCACAGTACTGTAACGTGGATCACGGGTAAGGGGTACGGTGAAAGATGTGGATCACTGGCACTGTGACAGATGTAGATTGCAGATGTGGATCACTGGCACTGACAGATGTAGATCACTGGTACTGTGACAGGGTGATGTGCTTGTACTCTCTGATCGGCTCTGCTTCTCCTCACTCACGGGCTCTGAGGAGAGGCAGAGCCGTTCAACTGAATGGTGGATTGTTAACATCACATGACAGTTGTGATTTGACACAGCTGTCATGTAATCAGAGGGGGCCGAGCGGTGTTGGCTATGTCCAAGGGACACAGGCAAACCGTGAGCGTGCAGCTACCAGGCCGTGCTGTGCGTATGTTCTGAAGGACTTTCCTGAATGTCCACTCAGAACGGCGAAGCTCCCACCTGGCCGTTTATGTGCGGTGGCCGGGTGGGAAGCGGGTAAAGACATGAAGCAAGTTTTGGGGTGGAGGAACTTGAGTGGCCTGCACAAAGTCCTGACCTCAACCTGATAGAACACCTTTGGGATGAATTAGAGCAGAGACTGTGAGCCAGGCCTTCTCATATGACATCAGTGCCTTACCTCACAAATGTGCTTCTGGAAGAATGGTCAAAAATTCCCATAGACACCTCCTAAACCTTGTGGACAGCCTTCCCAGAAGAGTTGAAGCTGTTATAGCTGCAAAGGGTGGGCCAACTCAATACTGAACCCTAAGGATGAAGACTGGGATGCTATTAACGTTCATGTGCGAGCAAAGGCAGGCATCCTGATACTTTTGGCAATATAGTGTATGTATGTAGAGATATACAGTTGTGTTCAAAATAATAGCAGTGTGTTGAAAAAAGTGAATAAAGCTCAAAATCCTTCTAATAGCTTTTATTTCCATACACACAAATGCATTGGGAACACAACACATTCTATTCCAAATCAAAAAATGAAAAAATATATTAAATTTGTGTTGTTCCTCTAAAACAAATTGAAGAAAAGTGAATATTAGACTGCTGAAAAAAATAGCAGTGTTTGTATTCTTCTTTACAAACTCAAACATTCACTATATAAACTGAAAAATGTTTAAAGATTTTGCTTTCCTTTGAATCAATTAATATTTTGTTGTATAAGCACTGTTTCTAAGAACTGCTGTACATCTGTGTTGCATGGAGTCAACCAACTTCTGGCACCTGTGAACAGGTATTCCAGCCCAGGATGATTGGACTACATTCCACAGTTCTTCTCTATTTTTTGGTTTTGCCTCAGAAACTGCATTTTTGATGTCACCCCACAAGTTTTCTATTGGATTAAGATCCGGGGATTGGGCTGGTCACTCCATAACGTCAATCTTGTTGGTCTGGAACCAAGATGTTGCATGTTTACTGGTGTGTTTGGGGTTGTTGTCTTGTTGGAACACCCATTTCAAGGGTATTTCCTCTTCAGCATAAGGCAGCATGACCTCTTCAAGTATTCTGATGTATTCAAACTGATCCATGATCCCTGGTATGCGATAAATAGGCCCAACACCGTAGTATGAGAAACATCCCCATATCATGATGCTTATGCAACCATGCTTCACTGTCTTCACAGTGTACTGTGGCTTGAATTCAGTGTTTGGGAGTCTTCTGACAAACTGTTTCCGGCCACTAGACCCAAAAAGAACAATCTTACTTTTTCATCAGTCCACAAAATGTTGCGCCATTTCTCTTTAGGCCAGTCAATGTGCTCTTTGGCAAATTGTAACCTCTTCAGCACATGTCTTTTTTTCAACAGTGGGACTTTGCGGGGGCTTCTTGCAGATAGCTTGGCTTCACATAGGTGTCTTCTAATTGTAACAGTACTCACAGGTAACTTTAGACCTTCTTCGATCTTCCTGGAGCTGAATGTTGGCTGAGTCCTTGCCATTTTGGATATTCTTCTATCCATTCGAATGGTAGTTTTTCACTTTTTTCAACGTCTTTCAGGTTTTGGTTGCCATTTTAAAGCATTTGCGATCATTTTAGCTGCGCAGCCTATCATTTTTTGCACTTCTTTATATGTTTTACCCTCTCCAATCAACTTTTTAATCAAGGTATGCTGTTCTTCTGAACAATGTCTGGAACGACCCATTTTCCTCAGAATTTCAGAGAGGAATGCACTGTAACCAGCATGTACAACATTTGCTGCCTTCTTTCCTTAAATAAGGGCAATAATTGCCACCTGTTTTTCAAAGAATAAATGACCTCACTAATAGAACTCCACACTGCTATTATTTTGAACATGCCCCTTTCAATTAGTGATTCAATTACACAGAATCAGCAGCATGCATGTCATGACTGTTGGGTCTGTTGGATTTCTATTACTCTACTACACCTGCTAGTAAATGATTTGCCATGTAGAAATATCATTTCTACCAAAAACATTTATTGATCAGGTTAGTGATGTCTGACTGCTATTATTTTGAACACAACTGTTTGTGCCACTTTGTCTTGGTCTATCACATAAAATCCCAATAAAATACATTTATGTTTTTGGTAGTAACATGACAAAATGTGGAAACTTTCAAGGGGTATGAATACTATTTCAAGGCACTGTACATATTATGATACTTGATGTACCCTTTCTCCTGAAATTTTTTCTTTAGCATCTTATTCTGCTTGTCATAGTCCTGTAACCAAGTGCATGTCTGCTTGAGACAACAGAATTGCCCAAAGGGAACATTGTTGATCCACCTCTGGTGATGGTGGCATGCAGATATGAGTTGCCAGACAACGGCTTGAAATGTGTCCAGGACTAGATCTGCAGGTCTGCATCCACCATCAGTTCCAGATCTAGGAACATCAGCCTGTGGTCATCCGCAACATGAGTGGTTTGGATGCCATGTGGATTGCCCTGGCAATGATCAAGGAATGATTCTAGCTGGTGATCTGTGTCATCTCAGATGATAAGGATATCATTGATGTAATGGGCATAGAGGATCATGTTTGTCCCAAAG